GGCAGAGAGAGAGAGACGGACAGACAGACAGACAAAGAGACAGGGAGAGACAGACAGAGAGAGGGACTGACAGACAGAAAGAGAGAGACAGAAGCAGAGAGAGAGATGCAACAGTGATTGCCACTATCTGTTGCATTTTTCAATATGGCGATTCTTAATATGGATATTTATCAATCTTTGTCCAATGTTTTAGTTTTGAATGTGATAACACTTGCAGGGATTATCAACCTACATCAATGAGGCCCTGAGACACAGAGACTAGCCTATGTTTTGTTGGCTGTTTAAATCGCTTTGAACATGGTCTCACATTTTGAAGAAGAGCCGTTCCAGATTTTTTAGCTTCACAAACCTGAAACGCCATGGTGTGAAGTGATTTTTCCCACAGTTGAAGCTTTGCTGGATGACATTGTAAAGTATTGTTTTGGTGGTGATTTTTGCTGCGGACACAAACAGCCGCTCTATCTTCTTTGAGTAAGTGCTCCTTGCCACAAAGCAAACCTTATTAAGTCCTACTACTCCCTATTTTCTTGTCAGGTCATAAGAGTTAAACAAACTTTTTAAAGTGGCATTTGAATTATATAAATGAACGCCTTTAGGGGAGAGAGCTTTGATAATGGTGAGCGTAAACGCGAATGTGTTTGTCCCCAGGGGCTGAATTTACAGACTCATTAGAAGAGTAGAAGAATACATTGTTTAAATGAGCCCATCCTGCTTCACTCTGCGGCAAAGTTTACATTTGGTAATGAATTAAGAGCCATGCACTATTAAAACGCTCTTTTGCTGACATCTCTATAAGCCGGAGATAAGCCGGGCCTAAATCAGGAAAGATGCGGATTCAGCACATTGCAGTCCAAGTGAAACGGGCAGAGGGGCTGTAGGTGTATGTGGCTTTTGCCTTTACACAGCCCATAAAATATCTAGGTTTTGTCTTAATTTGAAAATGCTTTTATAGTAATGCAGATGATTCATTGGATGAGGAGTGTTTTAGGATTGACTCAGTCCATGAGGCTGCCAAGAGATTTTAGTGTTTAGTTTTACTTTGGATTGAGTGTGGTTTTTCCATTAACGATACTAATCTCTAATGATCAATGCTGTTCCCTCAGTGCAGGACTAACAGGGGAATATTGGACAAATGGTGGTGTAAAAAGTATTTTGGAAATGAATATTATTAATATTACACTGCAAAAAATGATCAAATATGAGGTGAAAAAGGCTTGAATCGAGTTTTTGTCTTAATTTGACGTAATTCTAACTGTCTTAAAACAAGATTTGCAAATGGGACAAAGCCATTTAGTTTTATTTCAACAACTGTTATTTATTTGCATTGTATTGTTGTAAAATTTAATTTATGGCATGATCAGATTTAGCAGTAATTTTTTTTTTCTTTTCGGACTCTCAAAGACGCTTCACATGGCGTTTATTCATTCACTTCGTACACAGTGGTGATAAACTATTACTTCAGTCATCACTGCGCCACGGCTCAAAAAGGTTCATGATCACGTCCGCTGACATGCTCGCAATCTCACTTCTTGTTGGTGGGGGTGTACCCGGAAACAGAATTACCCCTGAATTCTAATGATGTCTTTCATTCTCTCGAAAACAGCTTTATAGGATGGGACAAAAGTCGGGACGTTTTTTTATTGGACCAGCTTAGGCCTAGTTTGAGCGCGGTGGACTTTTGAATGCACTCATTAAATGAATGGGGCTCGTTCCAGAAAACTAAGGTGCAAATGCGTTTTTCCACATTTTCCTGCGGGAGGGGCTGCCCATTTTCAATCTGCTCATGTCTGAGACACTATTATTTAAATAGGCGTCACTGTGTTTGTTAATGTATACAGTCTATGTCTGGGACACTCTGACAGAAGCAGGGGTTTTCCTTTTCCTGATAAATATGTTGAACACTTGATTCACTGAGAGCCATAGTTTCTGCCTGTTGAAATGTTGAACTGCGATAGTGCTTCCATGTTCTTAAGTCGGTCTCTCTTGACTTTCTCACCTCAATGTTTTCAGGGCAAAGATAACTGGAGTCCATTCACATAGGGCCAAAACCCTTCGGTCACAAAGCTGGTCTCAAACAGACTTTTAGTTCAGCAGGTTAGAGCGGTAAGAAGCAGTCAGAGCTGGACGCTAGACAGAATGACAGCTTTGACCAGACGTGACAGACAGCAATTGAGAAAATGGAAAGTTAGAGTGCAGTCTCATACTCCTACTTCAACAGAGAGCAGAGTTCAAGGAGGGACAAAAGTACAGACGAGGCCAGTTCAGGTCCATTTATATACGAATCATTGACAGCCCCAGAGATGTTGTAATACATGATGTCCTTGGAAGTAATCGATATTTGACTTGATGAGGTTGGTAAAGAGACCAGCAGTCGGTGATAGAGTTCAGACTACAAGGAATAGGGAACAGAACCCCAGACTGTTTTCCTTTTGGATCTCTAATATCTAGATAGGATGCTGCTCCCCGCCTGGATGCCCTCTTCCGTGTTGGATCCAGTGGGTTTATGAGTTTCCTTGTCAATGCAGGGGGGTCTAAGGCCAGTGACGATCCAGGGCATTTTTGGAAATCTGTGAACATTTGTTTTCTTTGTGTTTCAATTGTGTGATTCTCTGATCTGTTGTTAGCAAATGGAACATTACTGTATAGACATTGGATGTTTCCAAATTGGTTGGCATCGTCCCCTGTAGGGCACTGAAGGTGAGGAAGGCAGCCAAACCAAAAGTGAATTTGGACAGCATTTGTTAGCTGATCTGGGCCAAATCGACATCTAAACGCCTCATCAGGGTCCAATCCCGGGTCTGCGTTTGCCTTATTTCATTGTCCGGGGAAGCATCGGACTCAAACATGTGAGGCAAAAGGGGCGAGACTTATTTTTGTAACTCGCTCTTGTAACTCGCTTTTGCAAGGTTCTTTCACTGGTTTCTTGTTCCCTGAATCGCTGTTGAAAAGTCTTTTGGAGATGAATATTATTAAAACCCGGAAATGTGACTTACTTCCGGGTTTGAAGCCGAGACAACTCAATTTATGTTGGCATTAATTGATTATCTGTCTTGCGATTTTGAAATCCACACATTTTTTGACAAACCCTGCATAAAGTCTTTCAGTGATTTACAGTCATAAAGTACTTCTGCCTGGTTCAAGGGCTGCCTGACAAAGATGTACCTTCTAATGATTTCCATTTCTCTGGCTTTCTCTTGTAGCGTACTTCAATTGTCACAGTGATTTTGTGACGATCAAGAAGGCTCATTCACCTCTCTATTAAAGTTGGGGGTTTAAGCAGCTGTGAAATGTTTCCCTGTTATGTATGGATATCAAAAGAAAAGAAGCAGCACATGCTCAAATCGAAGAGTTCATCTCAAAACCACCGTCAATCCATGACAGAAAAACCATGCAATTCTGGTGGATTTCAATGAGCCAGAGAGAAGTCACATATTCACTAACTTTTCCTTCAAAACTCTGAATCAATGTCATCAAGACACTATGTACAATGGCTAGGATGCTGACCGTGGGCTAGAATTCTTGGAGTATTTTGGAGACTAGCTCTAAAGTACCTGTGCTATTAAGCGCTGGGTAACAGAATATCTTAAGTTGTCATTCAGCTTGTCCTTATTCCAAACTGCTACACTTTCAGAGTAAAGTAATCAACAGCTTCCATTGCAGTTTTACAGCTATAATCCAGGCCTTCTGAAATATTCACAACTTTAAAAGGGGTCAACTTGAACCATGTGGAGCTATACATTTACAGAGTATGTTTTCTACAAGTGATTTCATTTTAGGGATAGGGACATCTGTTCTGGGAAATGTATGATGTATCATGAGGTTAGTTGTATTGTCTATCTTGCAGAACACTTGGGTTTCCAGTACTAACCAGGAAAAAGTGTTGGAGGGGAATGCACTCTGGATAATCAAAAGGTTTATGTTAAGGTTTAGTCTTCGAACCCCAAAGCAGAGGGAGGCCAAAGCAGTTTAACAAAAGTCTTTAAAGCGAATATCCGGAGTTTCTGGAAAGTCTTGGTTTATGTATTATTCTTTTGAATTGTGAAAAAGGGATTGCGCTGTCTTTTACTATGGTCGAGTGCCATTGGTAATTTGTATACATCGATGTATGTAAGTCCCGCCCTCGGCCTATAGACCCCTATACAAACTGAAAATCGAGGCTCGATCAGCTAGCCAATAGGCTTTTACTTCCTGCAGCGGCGACTGTCAGTCAAGGTCCATGCGCATGCACAAAACCGTGCATGGCCACAAGGACGCGCATCTTTGGCCAGCGAACACAACATAATGGCGGAAAGCTCCGTAAACCCTAAATTGCCAATACCACGATTGCCATCTAAAGCTGCTCCTACATCAAAACAAAAGAAAAGTCCGGGGACAAAGTTGGCAGATAGACGCCTTCGTGACCACCGGAGAATATATCTTGGAGCGGCGTTTCAAAGGTGGAGGGACCTGCGGCTTTTGAAGGGATTTAAAACTGACCCTGAGTTGGCGATGTATCTCTTGGACAGGTAATGAAAACTTTTTAATGCCACTTTTAAACGTGTCGCTAGTGAAAAACAATACCACTGTCTTTCTGCAACAGTAGAATGTGCATAGTGTCAATTAGCATGCATCAAAGCTAAGGTTAGCGTACCATTCGCTAGCAATATGTCGGCTCAGCTAGCTGGCACACTTCTACTGTGGACCGAGTCCATGTTTCATTTCAAGTCAAATGAAACTTATTGTTCGTTCTTCAATTGTCACTACATGGATTTATTGGTTTTCACGTAGCAGCTAACAATCACGGTACCCCAAAACACGTTATTACTAGCGCTACTTTTTCTGACATGTTACTTGTACTAGCTTTTTGGCTGCAAACTCCTGCAAGTCAGTGCAACGTTGTGTAGTTAAACGTCATTCTAATGATTATAACGTATCTTCTATGTTTAATTTGTAGCTATGAGAAACGATCAGATTCTTCAACGTCGACACCAAGAAGAAATATTAAAAGAAAACGACTTGTGATGCCAGCTCTTTCCAGTATTGCAGAGTCGTTGTCTGAAAGGTACGTGATCTATCCTGTTAGCATCTGAATGATCCCAATATAAAATAAAGGCTAATCCAGTTGTTCCAACACAGCAGCATTTATATTGTGTGTACACTGTAGTTTATAGCAACATTTTTCCTTATTTCTTTTTGCCTCACTCACTCTACTTTTTTTTTTTTTTAGAGAGGAGGATTTCTACGAAGTACTCCCAATTGGCAGTGACGATGATGGAAAAAGGTACGTTATTCACGATATTATAATTTTTTCGTAAATTTGGTGTGAACAATGTTGTTTTCAGGATACAGGCTGATGAAGTGGATGAGAATGATGTAAACAGTTTGCAGAATTCAATGTGAGTATAAAAAATGTATACAAGAAATGTAAGACCACTTGCTGCAAAAGATATGTTACAGAGCTAATGTTTTGCAACAAGTGGTCACGGGAAATTTGCCACTATCAAATTCTGCCTAGCCCTTTTTAAAAGTTGTTACAAGTTTTTCAGTCCAATGAGCATGTGTAATCAATACATCTGATCCAGTGCAGTACACCTTTCTTAGTTAATAATAATAATACAAAAAAATATGATGTCCCTCTGTGTACAGCATTGACTGGACAGAAGATGAAACATGGACCCCATCTAAAGACACAGAAGAAGTTTCTACCTCAGAGGAGGAAACAAGAAAGGAAGACAGTGAGTCTGACGACAGTGACACGGACTACATACCAACAATACGAATCAGGTGAGTGTTATTTATGTAAGGGAGTAAAGAGGAGCCCTGCAGTTTGAGTATAAACGCATGCTTGGAGGCTAGAACAGTATGAGGTGCTGCGTTTAAACATTTCAATCATTGTATAATGAATGAAACGATGAGAAAATATCTGAACTCTGAACATTGTAAAGCGCTTTGGGTGACCTTGGTCTGTAAAATGCGCTGTATAAATAAACATTACTTAATTAATAATATTGAAATGTATTGTGTAAATAAATACAAAATATATCAGTTGTATCATTTCTGCTCAGACCTGGAGCTTCACTTGCCTACAATATTGATGAGCTTCCTGTGGCCACTGCGGAGGACATTGTGTATGATGGCATAGGACAAGACCCTCACCTCCCACCTTGTGATGATCCGTCCATACCATGCAACAGCATCAGAGTTGAAACCCCAGAGGACATTGTAGGCCAGCAAGCTGCAATTGTGTATGACACCTGCCTAAAGCAGCTTGTTACATTTCTTCAAATGCCAATTAGAAGATGTCCAGCAAAAACTCTAAAAGATGAATGTGGAGCCACTGGACCATTTGAAGTTTTTCTTGTTAAAAGGGGAAGCGCTGTTCTACTGAAATGGGTATGAGGGCAAATTGGGATTTTAAAATAAGCATGGATCAATATATCTAACACACGTTTTCATCTTCATACTCTTATACTATATATACTAAAAATAAGAATAAAAAACACTTCTAAAGAATAAATTTAAATTTAAAATAGAGTTACAGTTACTATTTACAATATACAAGTGCACATGGTGCACACAATGTAAGGTGACAGCAGTACAGTGAAGTAAAGTGACGTATGATGGGCAGTAAAGTGACTTTATAAAGGGCGGGGGACAGGTTAAGAAGTGTTCAAGAGTCCAACAGCAGAGGGGAAGAAACTGTTCTTGTCGCGGGAGGTTCTAGTCCTGATGGACCGCAGCCTCCTGCCTGAGGGGAGTGGTTGGAATAGTCCATGTGCAGGGTGAGAGGGGTCGGCTGTGATACGACCAGCCCGAGCTCGGGCGACGTACAGGTCCTGCAGCGATGGAAGGCTGCGGCCGATCACTTCCTCTGCAGAGCGCACAATGCGCTGTAGTCTCTGTTTGTCCCTGACTGTGGCTCCAGCGAACCACACGGTGATGGAGGAGGTGAGGATGGACTCGATGATGGCCGTGTAGAACTGCACCAACATCTGTGCAGGCAGCTTGGCTTTCCTGAGCTGCCGCAGGAAGTACATCCTCTGCTGGGCCTTCTTGATGAGGGAGCTGATGGTCGGCTCCCACTTGAGGTCCTGGGTGATGGTGGTGCCCAGGAAACGGAAGGACTCCACAGAGGTGATGGGGGAGTCCATCACGGAGGGTGGGGGCGGGGGGACAGTGCTCTTCCTGAAGTCCACAATTCATCTCCACTGTCTTCTGGGCGTTCAGCTCCAGGTTGTTACCACTGCACCAGGACACCAGCCGGTCCACCTCCCTCCTGTAGGCGGACTCATCGTTGTTGGAGATGAGTCCAATGAGGGTGGTGTCGTCCGCGAACTTGATCAGCTTCACGGAGTCGTGGCTGGAGGTGCAGTGGTTGGTGTACAGGGAGAAGAGCAGGGGAGAAATAATCTCTAGTTTGAAGGATGAAAGAGTTGTTGCACTTGGTAAGTTATTTGTTTTAAAGCTATAATCAAATGTATTCAATTAATTTTTATGAATTAAACAATTTGGAATGATTTTGACATATACATTGTTCTGTTAAAAACACAGGAGATGCTAGAATGGACAGCCCTGGTTTTTCGGCCCAATACTGCACATACACTGTGATGGACAATGGCAGTAAAAAGATTATGAATATTGCCAATAAAGACAAGCGAGAAGCCCAGGGACATTCCACCATAATGGAAAAGTTGGCATTCATTGATAGTTTAGACAAACTTAGAAATGAAGTCAATATTTCTGAGATTTGTACTGATGCGCATACCCAGATTTCTGCACTTTTCAGTAAGTACACTACAATGTAAACTAAACAATACTAGTTATTTTTTCACGATAACACATGTGTTTTTTCAATTAGGAACTGGAATATATAAAGATTCTGGAGTGGAGCATAGCTTCGATATGTGGCATGGTGCAAAGAACCTCGGGAACAAATACATGCTGTGAGTAGAAATAATTTTTATTTTTGTTTATTGTATTTATGCTGACCTTTGTTTACAGTCTGGCCAACAGCGGGATTGCAAAATTCTGTTGCAGTGGAAGAAAGACATATGCAATCATTTCTGGTTTTGCTGCAAAGTAGCAGATAATTATGAAAGATTCTTTGTAAGTAGTTTTAAGCTTAAAATCTTAACCTTAAAATATTCATTTTAAAGTGAATAGATACACCAAATATTGTTGAGTCAAGTGAGGAACTTGAATTGTGCCATAATTGTCTTTTTATTGTATTCTTACTAATGGCCTTTTTGTTTTACTTCGTAGCCCATGTGGATTGGCTTATTGCACCACGTCACTGGTGAACATGAAGGGCCCTATGATGCATGCCAACATGACCCATTGGTGGAAGAGCCTACTAAGGAATGGATAAAGAAAGGATCCAAAGCACACTCTGCCCTTTCCGAAATCATTCTGAAAGAACGCTGGCTCAAGGATGTCCCAAAATATTTGAATTTCAGGTAGGAAAACAGGTGACTATATTCATCTTTTTCTTCTATAGATTGTAAAATTAAATGGAGTTTTGTTTATTTTTGTAGGTCCACAGCACATTTGGAATCCTTCCACAATCATCTTCTCATGTATGCAAGTAAACGTTTTAGCTTTGTACAGCCTGTGTACAATGCACGTGTTTATCTTGCTGCTTTGGACTACAACCACCATGTTGACCGGCCTATGAGAAGATCTCCTGATGGATCCTTGCAGTAAGTGTATACCAAAAGATAATCAAATCATTTTTTCTTTGTTTTAAAAATATATATATTTTGTTACATTTAGAGGGAGAAGAGTGTTTAATAAAAAAATCAAGATCCTGGGCTTTTTATGCTCTGAAGGTAAAGAAGGACTATGCCTATATTCCCTCACTTCAAAGCAAGATTGTGGCTGCTCGGATAAACAGCAACAGAGGACTCCCAAAACACACCAAACTCAGATCTAATGACCAAAGACATTTAGGGTTAGTTTGTGGTGTTCCAGCCCCATCAACAAAAGAACTGAGGGACAGACATGTCAGCCGTGGAGATGGTAAGATGTTGTATTTCAATGTTGTTTATTTTTTCCCCTCTGATAAGTTGTTTAATTTCAGCAGGTCAAGAAGAACGGCAATAGATTTGGAATTTTTCCTGCAACAATAGAATATTTATTCTATTCTGAAGTTTGTAAATAAATGTATATACTTTTGCTGAAATGCTTTGCCTGTTGTAATTACAGCACATAGGCATCAGATTCAATTAGGATCCTTTATTAAAACACACACACACACACAATCCTTTCAACAACACTTTACAATATAATTAAATTATAATCGTCTGGGAATGAAGCCGGTGTAGATCCCATTCGGATCAGGGTATTTCTCTTATTCTCCATACCACACAACTTGGAATGACCACCCTGTTGCGAGCTCCCAGTGTGCCATACTGCCATGAAACGTATTGCCTATATGCAGCATGGCGAAATTGTCTGTTGTCCTCCCCTGGTTCCGAATCATCATGAAGTGCGCGTAAGTCATTCCACAGATTCCTCGCCAGTCGCAAAACCCCTTCGTGAAGAACCAGAGTCTGCATGTGCGGAGCAAGAGAAACGCACAGGACAGGGGATTGCTGGCAGCATTTTTTTTCAATGTCTGTTGGCATGTCTTTACAGTGGCTGCAGACACACCAAGTAGGCTGATTATCTGTATGCGGGTCTCGTGCAGCTGGGCCTGAACGGTGCATGATGTCAAGGAGAACGCCAGGGTTCCTCTCCAACACTTCCTGCAGTACTTCCAGAGCGTCCTGGTGGCTTAGGCTTTGAAGGAGTTCCTAAGAAATATACACATAGTTGTACAATAATAAGACAAGTTCTATATGCACATAAACAATACCTTTATTTGCCAAGTTACTCAGTGTTATACATAAGAGATTACTAGTTTTAATGTTATATTGTGATACAGGCATAACAATGGTGTTGGACCATGAGTCTGTAATAAAAGCTTCATTCATTCAATATTACACTCTATTTGTTGTCTTTTGAATATATTCCACTAACCCTAATAATTGTATAGTAATGATGATACACTACATGTCAATTTTAAGTGGTTTCTATGTACAATTTGTTTTATGTCACACAAGTTCTATATCTAACCACAGCGAGAACAGCATGTGGAATTCCAGTGCATCTAATGGTTACCCATTACAGTAACTAGTAATATAACGATTGTTATCTATAATATACTCCTAACACTAGTTTCGTACAACCAAATGAAGACTTCTCAAAATGTATTTACATCTAAATACCCGTTCAAAGTTGATGCGCTGGGTTCGAATCTCATGAACACGTGCAGAATCCTCCAGGCCTACGTTGCCAGCACTTCGGCCTCTCGGGGCACGCCGACCCCGACCACGGCCCCTGGACGTAGACGGACGGGCTCGCTTAGGTGCTCTGCTCGTCGGGGTGAAAGGGGGTGAATCCTCGTCAGAGGACGACTCTGCTGCATGCGAACTCTAAGCAGCAAAACACATATATATGTGACATGTGATATGCAAAGCAAAGGGTCAGCTCTAGCTATATAACCTATATTAGCAATTTAGTTGCGACGATTGATAGTAACTAGCAGAATTAGCAACGTTAGCATTGCTGCATATAGGCAATATTATGCAGTTCTTAGACAAAATGGATACAATTCTTAAATACATGCTTTGTCTTACCTCAGAAATGTCCATCGCCACAAAATGAAATAAAAGAACGAATATTTGCGGACCTTCCAACTTTGTTATGTTCGGCTCAGCGCGTGCACAACCGTAGAGGCGTGGCTTCAAGAAGATTGACAAATGCAAGGGAGGGGCTAGGTAGCGGCATAGTGCCGTTCAGGTTTGAATTTTCACGCCCTCTTTTCACCCTCCGGATATTCGCTTTAATAACCAAAAATACAAAAATACTCAAAAATGGTTGAAGCAGTGGAGACAGGGAGCAGGCCGGCCGAAGAGCAGAGTAGAGTAGAGACAGGAGGACTGGACGAGCACGGGATCTGGAATTGTAACAAGAAGGTGAGTAATCCAAAAACTCAGGTAAGAGTGAAGACACGGCGTGGTAATACCAATAAGACGGAATTATCCGGCAGAGGAGTGATGAGTAGACCAGGTTTATATACTGAGTAGAGTGGAGTGAGTGGATGCAGGTGTGTCTCGTCAGCAGCCCAGCAGAGACCGGCCACGCCCCCTGTCTCACGGGGAATTTACACAGTAGGCGTAAACAGCGCGTACGCGTTTACTGCGCGCTCTCTGCGCGTAACATTTTTTTGGAGTATCTACACAGGCCGTGCGCGCAGGTCCGCGTCTTCTGATGTTCTCCCTGTGTAGTCTATGGAGCAGTGTAGAGGACAGTACAGAGGACTGATGTAGAGCAACACAAATCACATGCATGTGTTTGTCCTCATGGTCTCTGTGCGCTGGTTTGGCCAGACGTGAGACTTTATGAAAGAAAAAAAACAATGTCCAGAATCACTGTAAAACCTGCTGCTCCTCCTGCTGATGTTTAGACACAAGTGCTGTGTGTGTGTAGATGTGATCTAGAGCCAAGGACCGCTAGAAAAATCCTGTTTTACATGAGATTTCAATGGGAGACGCGTTGGTCCGCGCACACAATTAGAAATCCATCCTAAATTAGAGCGCAACTTCGCGACATACGTCCGTCATACGCGCGTATAACGCTAGAAGTGTAAATATCATCATAGGTTAACATGGAAAAAAGTTACGCGCGTCTGCTGCGCGTATAACGCGTACGTGCTGTAACGCGTGATGTGTAAATTAGCAGTCACACATGCTCTGGAAAGAAAGATGGGGAGAGACCAAAACAAACAGAACCATGACAGTTTAAGGACAAAAAACACAAACAGGCTCAACGACAAGCTTAATTCAGTCGAATTCAGGCTTAATTCGGTCAAATTCAGGCTTAATTCAGTCAAATTCAGGGTTAACGTCAGCCTAGGTATAAAGGTAGAGATGACAGTGGAGACCCAGACTCAAAGGCTTTGTCCTCCTTAAAGTAGCCAGAGATTATAAAATGGAAAGTCTATACATTTGCTTTTTATCATACATGGCTGGATTTCAGACAAGGACCACAAGGCTCCTTCAAGAATAAATATTTACAAGATGGGAATGCGAATGAAAATATACTACGCGTTCTTCAAAAGAATCACAAAAATCACAACAGTAGTTATCTCGGAGGACTTTACAACACAGATCAGAGAACGAAACAGTTAAAACACTGGAAATGCAATGATGAAAAACACGTGGATCCTTTGGTCCTTAAGGGGCAGATGAGCGTAAATAATAATAAATATTCATACATTTCTTTAAATGTCCTGGATCCTCATCGCTGTCCATACACCCTCCTGCATCGGCAAGAATCAACAACAAAGACTAAGAGGGGAAAATGTGAGAAACTTCAGAGGGGCCCATGTTGAGAGAGGGATCTACTCTCAAGGACGGATGGGCTATCGATTCAGGACTTAGGCTATAGAACAAGGACTGAGCCCATACAGTGCAGGACTGAGGCAGCTCTCCAAACTCAATTCCACAAGGAAACACTAAGGAAGTACGTGGAGAAGAGAGAGTGATGCCATCAGCCCAAAGTGATTAATGGGAGAGGGGTCTAAGGTCATAGAGTGTTTGAGTCTGTGTATGGAATGAGTGAGAGAGATTGGAGCCAATAAATGTCTGCTTCGTTCAACCTCTTTTCAAACTGTATGTCTGAGTGTGAGTGATATGTATGTATAGTTCAGAATAAATCTATAAAAACAAAAATACAGTACAGACCAAAAATTTGGACACACTTTCCCATTCAATGAATTTCCTTTCTTTTCATGACTATTGACTGTAGATTCACACCCAGGCTGTTTGACCCAGGGCTGTTTGACCAATAAGGAGATGCTGGTCATGGTTTTGCGGTTAGCTGGACCCCAGAGTGAAGGCGAAAGGGCCAACAAGTGCTAAGCATCTGGGAACTCCTTCAAGACTGTTGGAAGACCATTTCAGGTCACTAACCCTAAAAAAAAACTCGTTCTTTGAATGAGAATGTGTGTCCAAACCTTTGGCCTGTACTATAAATGTTCTCCTAGTACTATGAACCAGAACACCACTCACTTACCCCTCATCATTTGTTGTACTCTTTCTTTGGTGTTGACGTAAAATGGTTCCCCTATGACAGCACAGAGGAGCCATCTACTGTAGAGTCTGTATTCTCCCTGGACCATTGTTGGAAAGGCTGTCAAATCGTCCCAAATTGGCAATGTCGTGTTGCAAAGTGTTGCTGTGCCCTGGTGTCTGGGCCGAGAAACGTCCAGGCACAACAGAAGGACAAATCTTGATACATGCTTCAAATCTCAGAGGAGTCATTTGTAAACCAGTATGTGGTCCAAACACGATCTGTGTGTTTGACATGAACTATTGGTCCCGGAGCCTGTTGACCCAATCTTTTTTCTCCACACCTTTGTTCAGCGATTGGCCTTTGCGAAAGAGCATAGCTCTGTCTATGCGGCAGATGAGAGTCAAAGCTCTGTTTTTTCATTATTCACAGAGATATGAGCCGATCAAGAGTCCGATTTGAGAGTGAGGCAGACACTTGACAACAGGTGCGCACACACATTTAAATCCATTATTTAAAACAGCCAATAATGATGTACTGTGATGTTATTACAGAGCCACGTCTAAATGTACAAATAACATCCCCCTTCAATTATTACACTCAAATTAATAAATAATAGTTGCACTGTTGAGGTAATAATAATAGTTACTAGCTTAGTGACTAACTTTTTTGGACACTCAAAAACACTGAACATGTCTTTATTCACTCCAAACACAATGGTCATAGCCATTGACAGAAGCGAGGCTCTGACCACCACCAACAATTCACACACACACCAAACTCAATCTAAGCAATGTGCGTAAAGTGTCTTGCCTAAGGACACATAGACAGTTTGGCACTTTACAGCAACCCCACTGCGGCACCTGGGGTTCCCAGAGGCCTTTCAACCTGCATGTATGGCCACAATCAATAGTGTGATCAGCAGTCTTGTTTGTTGGACCATACTGTGTCCTGGCTGTGTGTGCATCACAGTGTGTCACTCCTGATAAATAGAGACTTACGAGGCAGGTGAGTATTGTGTAACTCTGCGTCTGTGTGTGTTGATGTCTGAGCATATGTGTGTGTGCGTGTGGGAGTACTGTATGAACAGCTCAAACATGCATGAATGACACAGGTGCCGGGACGTCTTGAATCCACCAAAAAAATCAATGAGTGAAGTGCTAGAAAACACCCGTCACATCTCTGTAATACATCACAACATTTCTGCTCGGCTCAATTGAAAACCTGCTCAGCGCAAAAAAAAAGGAAAAAACCCTGTGAAATCTCGCACTTGTCTGACATTGATAAATCGATGGTAATTGAATCAAACCCGTCCACATGTTGGAGACTTCACAGCCGAGCCATATGTTTGCACATCCACAACAAACCGCTCATGAATGTTATGAATTATGGATTAGTAAATACTGAAGCCTCCGTTTTTGGACTTTATTGACTACAAATGTGGTGAAAATCGGCGGCGCACTGAGCGTTAAAGCTTTCAGTTGTCTTGTAATTCTAAACAATGATGTACTGTACGTAATTATGTATGAGATTTACAGACGTGTAGAGAATGCTGCGTGATAAATGTGTTCATTGTTGGAGTCTGTAAAAGGTTCGAGGTGTTGGAACTGTGTGTAGAAAAGACTGTTGTATTTGTGTTGCAATTGTTGAGGTTAGGGTTATTGATTGTAGAAGAAATGTACCCTAACAGTAAGAGGGAATGGAGGGAAGGAAAACGCATGAGAAAACACCATACACACACACACACACACACAGACACATAAACACACACACACACACACACAGACACACACGCACACAGAGATAAACATACACAGATCCATAAACACACAAAGATAACATACAGACTCACAGACACTCACACACACACATACGCTCACACATAGTGTGACAATATCGATATGCTTTTGTCTGCCATCGACGCATTAATAAGTCAATAGCGTTATTCACTATCTCATGTTCCCAGATGTCTATACTATCTAATATGTTTGGGGATTCTCTTTAGAGCATATTTTTTCAAGCCAGCAGGTGGCACCAGCCTCGCTTCTGGATGTTTTGAAAACAGGATGCACTTGTTGCGCCTCTTTTTCTAAGCTTTTTGTCTGAGACTGGTGATTTCAGTAAAACTTGTCTATAAGTTTAATTTCTGTAGAATGTTCATTTTGATTTTATTGGATGTAAGACTTATTTTGTTATATAAAAAAGGCAGCATTGTTCACTTTAATGTTACACATGACACTTATTACATTTATCTTGAAATTAAATGTATTTTTTCACTCAATATTCTTATAGCGTTTATGGCATAAATTATCGTAGCTTTATTTCTGACCAATATATCGATAATCTCAACATTGTTATAATGT